GGCCACGGGCAGCATTGGTGGCAGCACGTCCCACGAGTTCCAGCTGCCGGCGGACATCGGCGAGGACAGGCTGCTGCTGTGCCCTCAGGGGCACTTCGCGGCCAACGTGGAGACGCTAAACACGGAGCAAACCTCGTGTCCCGAGTGCGGGGAGAAGCTCAGCGAGACCAAAGGCATCGAGGTGGGGCACACGTTTTACCTGGGCACCAAGTACTCCTCGGTCGCCAACGCCGTGTTCTCCTCAGCCGAGAACAGGCCGCAGCTGGCAGAAATGGGCTGCTACGGCCTGGGCGTCACCCGCATCCTGGCGGCCTCCATCGAGGTACTCTCCAGCGAGGACAGCATCCGCTGGCCCAGCCTCATTGCGCCCTACCAGCTGTGCTTCATCCCCCCCAAGAGGGGCAGCAGGGAGGAGGAGGAGGGAGCGGCGCTGCTGGAGCAGGTGTACGATGAGCTGGCCCAGGCGCTGCCCCAGCTCGCTGGTGACGCAGTACTGGACGACCGGAGCCAGCTGACCATCGGCAAGAGGCTGAAGGATGCCCAGAGGCTGGGCTACCCCTACGTGGTGGTGGCTGGGAAGAGGGTCTGCGAGGACCCCCCGGTCTTTGAGGTTTGGGATCAGAATGCCGGCAAGGTTTTGTTCCTCACCAAGGAAGGGGTCATAGAGCTGCTGAGTAAAGTACAAGTGCCTTGAATGGCTCCTCTCTGAATCCATCATGTCTGCTGCAGTGAGTTCATCTGAGCAGCCCTGGTGATGGCTCTGGGTGAGCAGAGGCAAATCCAGCTCGTGTCAGAGTCAGCCACGGTGTCCTGCAGGTGCGCCAGGTGCTGAGGTTGAGCTGGAATCAGCACACATTCCACCACAGGGCTGAGGATGTTCCTCCCTCTGGGTACAGGTTCCTGGAAGCTGCTTTTTCCAGCACTTGTAGCCTCATGTGGCTGTGGGAGCACTGGCAGGGCCGTCTCCTCACTGCCTGGCAGGGACAGACTGGCCATGGCCTCTGTCAGGACAACAGGACAGCCAAAACTGCACAGGGGGACAAGAGGACTCCCCTCACTGCCACGTTCTCAGCATGAAGGATTCTAAGAGAGACAAAGGAAGGCAACTTTCTTCTGTTTGCATCTCTTTGGGAACACCCAGGGCCCGTGAGGGTGGAAGATTGCCCTGGCAGGGCTCCTGTGAGGAACTGCTTGGTGCCATCCCAGCAGCACTGACAGGAGGGACAGGGAGCTGCTTGCAAGGGTCACCTCACCCTGTGCCACAGCTCCTTGGTCTGAGATCTAGAGATCATGAGCAACACTGTAATAAAATCACAGAATCATTTAGCTTGGAAAAGGCCTTTAAGATCATTGAGTCCATTAACCTGATCTGCCAAGGTCACCACTAACCCGTGTCCCCAGGTGCCATTCCCACTGCTCCTTAAACTTCTCCAGGGATGGTGACTCTGTCACTTCCCTGAGCTGTTCCAGTGCCTTACAACCCTTCTGATGAAGAGCTTTTTCCCAATATCCCTGCTGGGGGAGGGGGGGACGGTGGGTCGAAAGGAGTGGGGCTGGGGCTGATGCCGGTGCCGATACCGGTGCCGTTGGAATGCCGGGGCCGCTCAGAAGGAACGGGGCTGGGATTGAGGCGGGAGAAGGTGGGATGCTGGTGCCGGTACCGGTGGGATGCCGGATGGGTGTAACACCGGTACCGGTGGGATACCGGGGCGGGTCTGATGCCGGTACCGGTGGGATGCCGGTACCGGTGCGATGCCGGTGTGGGTCTAACACCGGTACCGGTGCGATGCCTGTGCCGGTACCGGTGGGATGCCGGCGCGGGTCTAACGCCGATGCCGGTGCCGGTACCGGTGCGATGCCGGAGTGGGTCTAACACCGGTACCGGTGCGATGCCGGTGCTGGTGCTGATGGGAAGGAGCGGGGCCGGGCCTGACGCGGCGGGGGCGGCGGCAGGCGGGGCCGGGCGGCGCTGGGAGGAGGAGCACCGGCAGCATGGCGGAGCCCGAGCAGGACGGCGTGTCCGGAGCCCCGGCGGCGCCGCCGCGGTACCGGGGAGCGCTGCACCCCGACACGTGGGAGCAGGTGAGGCCAAGGGGCCGGGCGGGGGGCCGCGCTCGGGGCGCTGCATGCCTGTCCGTCTGTCCGTCCGTCCGCAGGAGCTGGAGGCCATCCCCATGTTCATGAAGCGCTGCCCGGCCGAGATCGACGCGGCGCGGCAGCCCGAGCTCGCCTGCCTGCAGTCGCTGCTGTTCGACGAGGAGCGGAGCCCCGCAGGTGCGCCCTGCCCCAACCCGCAGGTGAGCTGCCAACCCCAACCCTGCCCCAGCCTGACCGCCTGCATCCCCGCAGAGCTGGCCAGGATGTACAAGAACGAGGGGAACGAGTACTTCAAGGAGAAGGACTACGGGAGAGCGCTGGCCGCCTACTCGGAGGGGCTGCGGCGGCGCTGCGGGGACGCGGAGCTGGACGCGGTGCTGCTCACCAACCGGGCGGCCGCGCATTTCCACCTGGGTAAGGCTTCCCACCGCCGGGAACGCGGCTCTAGGCTCCGGAGATGCTGCTCCTCCCCGGCTGGGGTTTGGTGTTTGTTAGTTTCGGTTGTGTGATGGGTTATGGGTGAGAAGGAGGCGCCTTGAAGCCTGGAGAGCTGGCTCGCTTCAGCATATGGATGTGTGCGGGGTTTGTGCTCTGCTCATTCCAGCTGTTACCTGCTGCTCGAGCTTTGGCTCCAGAACGGGGCAAAAATCGTGGGGTTTTTAGTCTGTTCAGAAATAGACTAGTTTGGGTTGGAATTGATGGATGACCTTTAAAGGCCATCTGGTCCAACCCCTCTGCAAGGAGCTGTGACATCTTCAGCTAAAGTTTGTTCAGAGCCCTGCTCAGCCTGGCCTTGAATGTTTCCAGGGATGGGGCTCCTAGCACCTCTCTGGACAACTTCTGCCAGTGCCTCACCACTCTCATTGTCAAAAATTTCTTCCTTATATCTAATGTAAGTCTACCCTAATTTAGTTTAAAATCATTGTTTGATGGTCTTGGAGGTGTTTACCAACCTTAATAATTCTGTGGTTCTCCTACAGCTACCACCATCCTACCAACAGGGAAGGTGTTCTGGCCCTTTTAGTGCTGCTGTGTTGCTCACACCACATTATTTACCTCTCACCTGTGTGATTGATCCCTGTCTTTTCACTTCTTTCTTAATTTGCTCCTTTTTTACCCTCCTCTCACCTCACAGTGATTGTAGGAACAGTGAATTACAGGGTCTCTGCATAAACCTTTTTGTCACCTCGGTGTCTGGTTAGATTTTAAATACAAGTGAGCACTTTTACTTGCTTTGCAGGGAACTACCGTTCTGCTCTAAATGATGCCATCCAGGCCAAAAAGCTGAAACCCACCCATCTCAAAGCCATCATAAGAGGTGAGAGTTAAAGCTGGTGCTGCTGCATGGAGCACGACTCCTTTCCAAATGCTTGGCTGATGTTATTTTTACTGATTGTGCTGCTATTGTTGCCAGCCCTGAAGCAGGCTGTTGTTGCTTGTTGCCTTGTTTCCTTGAGTGTTTAATAGTTGTGTTTATAAAGCTGAAATTACTGTGAGTGGGCATCATACTTTGTTTCTGGACAGAGTTTGTTTCAGAAAGGGAAAGCAGTTACTGGAAGAGATCTCTTCACTTGTTGTTGTTGTTGTTTCTTCCCAAAAGAGAGCTCTGCCTTTTGCTTTGCATTTTCAATCAAAATACCCTTTTGTTCTTCATCTCCTATATCTATCAGAGGCACTGTGGAGTACAGGATAACTTTTCCTGTTTTCCACAATATTGTTCTTTTTTCCCACTCCATAGAAATGTCCCTTTTATTTTTCCTAACAAGCCAAACACTGAAATACTAATTGCAATGATAAAATTTTGTTTGTAACAGACACTTTTACCATAATTCTGCTGATTTCTGTGTCTTGGTGATATAAGAACTGATGAAATACTTTAAATTTTCTTCTCAACTGACCTGCTGGACCTTTCTGGTTGAACATGACCACACAAGGCAGAGATGTTTAGTACAGAAGTGCCAGACCTAATGTTTATAATCACTCTTTACAGTGATTATATTCACAGACTTTATAATCACTATTTTTATAGTAGTTATACACTGGAAACTTAAAATATTAATCCTTCCAGGAGCTCTCTGTCACATGGAGCTGAAGAATTTCGTGGAAGCAATAGCATGGTGTGAGGAGGGCTTGCAAATAGACTCAAAAGAGAAAAAGCTCGTGGAAATGAGAGCTAAAGCTGACAAATTGAAGGTGAGGATGAAGGCAGCCTGGCATGTGCAGTGCTTGTCCCTTTGGGGTCCCTGGAGGGGTTTCTGTGTGGTGTGGATCCCCAGGCAGGATGGAGTGGTGCTCTCATGGGCTATATGTTGGGATGTGCAGGGGAAGGAGCTGGGGGGACCTTCCTGGGGACCCAAACTGGTTTCTCCAGCAGGAGGAAATGTCAGGGAAGAGCAGAGGTGGGCACTGACCTGCTCTGTGTGGGCACTGGTGGGCTCTGACCTGCTCTGTGTGACCTCAGTGCATCCTTCTCTTGCCTGCAGCGAACTCAGGACAGGGATGCCAGGAAAGCAAAGGTGATGGAGAAAAGGGAGCAGCATCAGAAGGAAGTTTTGCTTGCAGCAATAAAGGTGAGTCACTGAGAGGGGCTGGTTTTGTGTGGTTTGGGGGTTTTTTTAAGAGCTGTCTTGTTTTTCTCTAAAAGTTGGATCTCATACATTGGCTTTTGAGGGCTAGAGAAAAAAAATTTGATTTAAAACCATGATTCTCCAGGTCTGCATGGCTCCAGCCCCAGCTCCCAGCTGTCTGTATTTCAGGTGACAACTAATGCAAAATACAGCCCCCGTGTTAGGAGATGGGCTGAGCTGTGTGAGTGCTCTGGCTGCAGCATCACATGAGCCCAGTGAACCTGGCTTTCTGTGCTGCCCACAGGCATAAATTCTGTGGAAGAATAGAAGATAACTGTTGAATAAGGTACAGGAGGGAATCAGTCCTGGATCCTCTCCTTCCTCAGTGAATGTTTAAACTGCATTAAAATATTTTGGGCTCTTACATACAGTCAGATCTCTTCTGGTGTTGCTTTTCCAAGGAAAAGAGTGAGCTTTCTTCAGTTCTCTGAAAGAGCAGATGTTCTCAGGAGCTGGTGTGTGTAGTTGCGTCCTGTAGTGATGCCTGGCAGGCCACAGAGAGAAGCATTTTAGGTGCATCCCTTTCCCCATGTGTTCTCAGGCTCTTCTCTCCACATATGGATTCCTCTGGATTCCCACCTCTCCTCATTTGTTTATGGATATCTGGTGAGGTTCTGGGTTCTACTGGGAAGCCCAGTCACCTGAGTGTGATACTGAGGGAAAGCTTTGGAGCTGACTCATTAACAAGAACATCATTTGACCTTTTACTGACTGCTAATTTTTTGTTCTTACTCTCCCCACCACAACTGTTGAATTTTTAGTTGTGTTTTGGTATTTCTCCTCCATCCCCTCCAGGAAAGAAATATCAAACTGGTTCTTGAGCCTGCAGATGAAGAGGAGGAAGTGTCAGATGGCCTGGCTGAGATTTCCCTGGATGGGTTCCACCCTGGCAGTGCCACGGGGGCCAAGGTGCACCTGGATGCTGATGGCAGCCTGAGCTGGCCTGTCCTCTTCCTGTACCCTGAGCACGAGCAGACAGATTTCACTGTGGCTTTCCATGAGAGCTCCAGGTAAATGCTCTGCCAGCAGCATTCTGGCACTGAGGGGGGGTTTGAGCAGGTGAGAGCAGGCAGCAATCCAGCACTGCCATGCTGGAGCAGCCCCAGATGTCTCATCACACAGCTGACCCTGCTTTGCAGGAGGAGGCTGCACTCCATGGCCTCCTGACGTCCTCTGCAACCTGAATTATTCTGTGATTTACCTGGATTTATGCTGCAGACAAACACATTTAGCCAGACTGAAGGGGCTTGCAGTGCAGTTACTCAGGCCAGTAATTAATTAGTGGTCAGGGGTTCCTGTGACCCATCCACACGTGTGGATTTTAGAGATTCATTGAGGTGCTCTTTCAAAGCCCTCCCAGTACATCTCAGGAAAAAAAAATTAAACTCAAAAATTATGCAAAGCTTCCAAAGGGGACCTCTCATAACCAGCAGGGACCCCAAAGTTCTCCTCAGGGCCTCCAGCAGATCTAAAGTGCTGCAGACCTTTCAGACTCTGAGTAACAAGCTCAGAATTCCACTCTCCTTAATGTTAACTTCAATTTCTTGCCTTGTAGTGTTAAATGGATTTGGAATTTGTAACTTTTTGTTTGTTGGAAGACATATTCCTCAGA